GGATACGGGAACGTTTCCAATACGCCTATACGGCACCCTAGTGAAGTATTTGTATTAATTAGTGTATATATATATTTCCCTCTTGTTTCTCTATGAGGACAGGAAATAAGATAAATGAAAATTTTTCTCTTATTTCTTTTTACGCAAATGCGGTTGGTAAACATATTTTATACACATGTTGTGTACACTCCCTAATTGTGTATCTATGGAGTTAATTCGTTCAAAAGTTGCCTAAACAGACGACTAAAAAGAATGTATACAAAAGGTGTACAAAATAGGTGTACACAAAAAATGGTTTTTTCTTATTCATTTCCCTTCAAGTCCTAATCAAACTAATTAAACAAATGATAACTTGACGTGAGGGTCAAAGAAGCTAGGTGAAACAAATGATAGAAAGACTGAAACGGTGAAAAAAAATTACAGAGTACAATTTTCATCAAAAAATATTTACAGTTAACATGAATTATCATTTTAGTGCCGGGTATGCCGGTTCGATCTCCGTTTTTTAAATTTTTTAATTAGCTTTTTAATGTATTTATATTCTTTTAAAATGCTTATAATTTATAAACAAATGAATTATCATTAAATCGGGAGTGTTCATGTAACCCCCACCCAAAATTTTTAAAATACATGTTAAGAATTGATGTAATAAATTTTTATGTAATGTTTTAATGGTAAAAAAAATTGAACACCCAAAATCTAGTTGCACCAGTGAAGTGTAAAAATTGTTCAATATATATAGATAAAAAGAATTCAAAATACATTATTCTCCTGACTACATAGATTATTGCAGTGGGATAATGGGTAGGAGGATTGGTACATCCTAAGAGATCTCAATACATTTATGTACGAAAATACGGGAGTCGGAACTCCCAATTCCGACAACGGGTAGGGTTTGCTAACACAATTACACAAGGCACTAATACCAGTCGGATTCCCCAATTCCGACATAAAGTATTACTCCGTATTACTCCCTCCGTTCTTTATTATCTGTCCCGCTAGCCTTGGGCTCGGGTTTTAATAAAAAAATAGTAGGGTAAATGTAGAGTGTGTAGGGTAAATGATAAAGTAGGAAAGAGAGTATATTAAAAAGAGTAAAGTGGTGATAAAGTGATGATAAAGTAGGAAAGAGAGTATATTAAGTAAAGTAAGTTATGATAAAGTAAGAAAGAGAAAGTAGTTTGTAAAAAGTAAGAGGGATAAAAGTAAAAAAATTGAGGGTTTTTTTATCAAAAACTTTCCTAAAGTAGAAAGAGAGACAAATAATAAAAAATGTCCCAAAATGGAATGCGAGACAGATAATAAAGAACGGAGGGAGTATTATTTTATATGATGGTTGCAAACAAAGTATGACGACTTAAGTATTACTAGTATTATTATTTTAAATATTATTTTAAATATGATGGTTGGTAACAAAGTATGGAGGATAGGGTGCTGGTCAGAATTGAAGAATCCAAGTAATGTATTTTTATTTTATTTTTAAATTATGGTCAAAACTGAAAATACTCATTGGGTAGAATCCAAAGATATGGGTCCGCAAAAAATTAATTGAAAAAGTGGAAAATTCATCACATAAATCGCATAAAATTTAATTAGATAAAATACATTAGATAAAATTCGTCAGATAAGAGTAGTCCACTTTATTAATCATATATTTCATTTTTAGAACTTTTAATTAATAATAGTACATTATACTAGTCAGATAAATTTTAATCAGATAAAAATTCAGATAAAATTTATCAGATACGATTTCATGCAACACACCTACACACTTTATTAGGTAAAATTTAATCAAATAAAATTTATCTGATAAAAATTAACTCATAAAATTTAATCACATACAAAAAATTCAGATTAAACAAAATCAAAATTGAATTTCTTTTGATAAATATATTTCACAACTACTCCGTAATACGGATGAGTTAATTAAAACATAACATAAAAGAGCCCTATTATATTTAAAATGTTGTTCGTATAATATAAAAATAAAAAATCTAAATAAAACACCAAATAACACTTATTTGGAATCTCCATTTACGAAGTGGACACTAAAAATTAAAAGTGATGAGCTGGTCGGAAGCTCCAATTCCGACCGGAGGGTTTTAAAAAAATAAAATAAATGTGGTCGGAATAGCCACTTCCCAATACAAAAACTCCCGTAATTTGAGAAACCCTACAAAAATGCCCGTATTTTCGCACCACATGTTCTATTTTCCCGTGTATTGGGAAAACACCCTTTCTTTCTCTATACGGTATTAATGACGTGTATGACGTGTATTTCTTCTAATAATGCAATCCGTTTTTTTGCAATGCTCCAATAGCATACTAAAAACTACATATATACATGCATGCATGGGGTACTTCTAAACAGCTGTCCTTCCACTAAGGGTTTCTAATTTTCACTCGTCCCTTTCCTAACATCCCTTCCCTTGTGTCACATTATAGGACATCCCCACTTTTATTCAATAATTAGTACTTCTATGTGGATGCATAAAATATATCCTGTCACACAAATTTTTATTCATAAATTAGTACTTGAGTCAAATTTTATTAACTTTGACTGCTAATTATTTAAAAATTGTATTACTTTATTATTAAATATTTATTACTGCAAATGTTATTACTTTATCGTCCGAAAACAGTCTCTATGATTTAGTATAAGGATAATGTTATGTACATATATACGACCTTCCTTACTCTAATGTAGGTGAGAGCTTTTGCGGCACTATAGTAATGTTCTTGTATACTCTGTATATTATTGAATTGTTAGTTTATTATAAATTTATAAGCATATATTTTAATACTCCGTATATATATCAATAGTCAAACGTTGATATCGTGAACTTGACACTACAAAAAAAATACGGGATAAGTAGATATTTTTGGTAGAAATTTTCTAAAATTGGTAGGGATTTTGGCAGGGATATGCCAAATCCGTGCCAAAAACAGTTTGGCACAAGTTATTTGGCACGAAATAATTGGTAAATCCTTGCCAAATTCGTGTCAATCCCGTAATTTTTTGTAGTGTACTTGAGGTAGCATATAATACTCCACACAGTGGCATATTCACTATGGGGCCAGCGGGGGCAGCTGCCCCCACTCAACCCCAAACCAACCCCTATATATATCCAAATTTTTACAAGAAATTGCTCAAATTAAGAGTTAAATGTAGGAAAAAAATTCTAAAATAGGATTAGAAGTGTTTTCTTTAATATTAAAAGAATGAAAGACTAAAAATTCACTAAATTTTGTTATGTTTAAGACTGTTTAACTTATATTTAGGTAAATTTATTACATTTTATCTGCAATTACATCTTTACACACCCGTAATATAAATTAATCTTCTTTTTATTCATACTTGTACATAGATATTATAAACTAAATTTAATCAAACAATATTAATAATGTGATTTGTTATTTGTGAAATATGAGACTAAATTGTAGTCAAGTTTGCCCCCACTCGCCAAATTTTCTGGATACGCCACTGACTCCACGTATATACTCCATATAATACTTATGTATATATACTCCATATAATATACTCCATTGAGGTAGTATATACTACGTATATACTCCATATTCCATAATAATCCATACAATACTCAGTGTCAACCAACATGAGAACACGTTATGTTTTCAAATAAACTAACCATCAGAGTGGTGTGCCCCTACATGGATTCCAAGTCCTATACACCCATTGGCTAGCTACGAAATTCCTTACCAACAAATAAAAATGCATATATCATCGCAATCCCACTACTGATTTCAAAGATTTTAATGTTTGTACGTCTTCAAAAGCCCAGCTGTATATCAAGTTTAATTTGTACCCCATTTGTCTTCAAAATATGAATTTACGCATAATTCATTAAAGCATTAAGAATATTTGCAACCAAAATTAGAAAAATAAGTTAATTATAGGGAACAAACTCCAACTTGAAAGAAAAAATAATAAAATATTGTACAAGTTCTCAACATTGGAGTGCCGAGTGCAAATATGTAATATTGATTATCTTGAAAGTGGAATAGAGCGCAAATTTGACCCGTACGTAAATACGTATTCAAAGAGTGCAAAGTGATCCACTCTGATATAATAAAAAATAAATGAAATATAATAATATACTACGTAATAAAAAATAATATACTTCGTATACAAGTGTGTTGAATTTGAGATATAAATTAAAACAAGTACCAAGAGTATGAAAAGGTGATAAATGATGCGATGTCAAATTTACAATTAGGATGTTTTAAATTGAATTAGGTAGTATAATTTTTTATCTGGTCTAATCTGATTTGGTCAGTTTAAATCTAATCTGATTTGATCTGGTAGATTTCTATTATATGTGTATTTTACAACTGTCAAAATCTAGTATGGTCAATAAGTCTGATCTGATCTAATATGAGATTGAAACCAATCCAATAAAAAGTAAAAACATCCTTGATTGAAATTTTATGTCCTATGTAAAAGTGCAATAGGCTATGTTTGAAGAAATGAGCTGAACGGGAGACTATTGTCTTATCAGAGACTATTATCTAGAGCTAAAGTTAATTAGAAGTTTGTGAAATTGAAATATTTACCGAATGAAAAAGACTTGTTTGAAAACACGGTTGAAATCAAGACTAAAATGTAAAAGTGCCATGAAATAAATGTTAACGTAAATAAGATGAAATTTGAATAATGGGAGAGTAAAGTCGAATTATGTGTGTGTGAGGATCAAATAAAAAAAAGTATTATCTATTAAAATGAGAATAAATCTATTGTATTTTGTTTGAGATATAATGGCTCAAAATATACCAACAATGCAGCATAGTCAGTAAAAAATATGGTGACAATTTGGTAACTCAACCAAATTTTCTGTAATCAGAGAACAATGTACCAAACAAACTTAATAATAATGGACAAAAGTGAGTAAATAGTGCAACGGCATTTGTCACATCACTCCTCTTATTAGAGCTACATGATACACACACATATATATAGAGAATTATAGATTAAAACCAGTGAGGAACACTTTACTTTGTGCAACTGTTTTTCTAGCTGGACGCCTTTTCTTCTCCTGGAAACTACTGTGTTTTGTTTCATGCAAGGATTTGTTCTGAGGTACCTCCCAAAAGACTTCATTCTTATGGGTGAGGTTTACAGTCCTAAGAATACGTATATGGGCATTCGGTTCGTTTTGGTTGCAACCCAGAATATTCATTCCCACATGACTCGGCAAACCCTTTGTTTTCTGCTCTGAGCTTCTTCTCTATTACTTTAGCCAAGTACGGTTAGTTGAGAGCTATGTCAAAAAAGAACAACTGGCTTACAAGCATTTTGAAGAGATTTTTCATTTCAGAGGCAGAATTCAGACCAGAAAAGGTATTAAAAAACAAAACAAAAATGCTCATGCATGTAAATTAAATGAGAGTATATTAATTATCTATCAGATGGATGCTCTTATTATTATATCTCTAACCTTGAATAAATTATTGTACATATCTGCATTTGCTGGTCTGGCAGGGGAAGAGAAAGAGATGGATGCTAGGGTTGTTCTCAGAACGGAGTAAAAAAGAAGCGGCTTCAACAAGTACTGACAATCAGCATAAGCAGCGGCAGCAGGAGGATGAAGTCCCAGATTTATTCGAGCTCAGAATCCTGGCTGCCATTAAAATCCAGACTGCTTTTCGTGGTTATCTCGTAAGTTCAATGTTACTTCATACTTGTGTGAATCTTGGTGCAGTTCTCGATCTGCATTTTATATTATGGCCTAGCTGGTGGGAGAGATGGACACATTTATTTCATTCAATTCAATATAATCAAAGATCACCACTAGTCCACTACTATTGTTTCACAACTATTGGTTATCTCGTAAGTTTTTTTTGGCACGCCGCAGGGAAGAAAAGCTTTGCGGGCGATGAAAGGAATAGTAAGGCTTCAAGCTATGGTTCGAGGCCAAGCTGTTCGACGCCAAGCTGTTTTGACCCTCCAACGCTTGCAATCGGTCGTAGACATCCAATCACAAGTCCGCGAAAGAGGCTACATCATCGCAAACATTTCAAATGAGAAGGACATTAAGGTTAGTAACACAAGACCCTAAGGTTGATATGTTGGTTTATACTTTTTTCAATATTTGTTCAACATGAGATATCTAAGAAAATAAGCCCCAGCTTCTACAATGGATTGGACATTTTTTATTGAAAATTTACATAATGACTAAAGTAAACTTACACACACAGATAGATTTGAACAGCAGCCACAAAATGTGGGACTACAGAGCTGTGTCAAAGGAAGATGCAAATGCCATGTCCCTAAGCAAGAGGGAGGCCTCCTTCAAGAGAGAACGTATAAAGGAGTACTGGTTAAGTCATCGGGTCTGTATATATATACATATGTACCATGCATGATGCATCTAAATTACATTCTCGTCAACACCAGAACCGGATAACCACAAGATAATCTCAATTTTCCAAATTCCCCTTGGTTAACGAAATAGTACGTACTTCAAAAAAAAAGAAATTTAGCCAGTCAGATTGCATAATTAATAAGGCTATTCTAAAGTTGGTCTATGTTTAATAAGGTATGAAGCTCTTGTGCTTACTTTTTATGCTCAAATCAACTCACATTATTTTATTTTTTCAGTTTTCAATTAACCATGAAGCGAAAACCTGTTAACCAATTTAACAGAAGACCTAATGGCATTGAAAATGTCCCAATCAAAACACCAATTAACTGCAACACTGGTTGACCAACCATGCCCCTAATTTCATATCAAAGATTTAGTATTTTTAATCAAAAAATAACTAAAAATATATAATATATATCCAGAAGTCAACTTCAGAGTCGGAAAAAAGTAAAATTAATACAAGAAGATACTGGCTGGAAGACTGGGTAGATTCGGAGCTAGCTAAAATAGAAGAAGACGGTAAAGCTCTGGATGGTGTTTGCACAAGCGGGGGAATACGAGAGATGAGTAGTTTGGTATCTCCAAGAGCGCAAAATGGAGGAAGAAGGCTGTCATTTCACCACCACCACAAAAGGCAGCACTCCATCAGTGTGGCGTCGTCTCCTGCTGCAGCAAATAATACCATGCAGCAGCAGCTTCCAGCTTATATGGCGTCCACGAAATCAGTTGAAGCAAAGGCTAGATCAATGAGCACACCAAGGCTACGGCCAATGCACCACTTTGATCTTTACTCTACTACTTCTGACAATGATTCTCCATTCAAGTACAAATATAAGCTCTCACCTGTTATCCGTAATGAAGCCAGAGCAACAAAAAACAGCAGCATGGTTGGAGGTCGTCATCATCGTTCAAGTTTCACTCAAAGATTGCTGCACTCTTAAACAGCACCTTGCAGTAGCTGATGTTCCTCCTAAGTCCTACGTCAAACCAAATTTCTTATTCTAAAGCATGTTAGTTAAAATTGGAGCCAGCGCTCTCATTATTATGGATATATTGTAATACATTGGGTTCATGCATGCCTTTTTAAGCTTCAGAGTTTTCTTTTTTGGATGCTTGGTAAATGTTTATAAGGTTCTGATCGCAGTAAAATCAATTTCACAAAAATGAACATGCTTGTATTCATGTGTGTATGTATGGCACTATGGCTCATCAAACATTAAACATGGAAAAGGAGCTAGGGTCCCTGAACGAGAGTAATATTACTGTGCAAGATTCTAACAATGTCTTAATAAGGCTTCCTCAGCTCATGGAACTGAGCTGCGTATTATAGGTGTAAATGCCACATCAACACATATAAATTCTGCAGTACTGTAAGCAGCTGCGTATACATCAATATTTTAAAGTAATAATAATGTAGAATGCAGAAACCATTTGAACAGGTGCAGAGTAGGAATGTAATGGATTAGAGAAGACTGGTATATAACAAGTATGATTTTACTCCAGCGCACCAGATTTGGTACAAAATAACTGAGATAAAGAATGATGGATATAATGATATTGTAGGTGAAATATTAACCACAGTACATGCCAACATTTCAAATGGAAAGCAAAATGGCCTGAGGAATGGAATGAATGTAGAAATCAGACTCAAACCCATCAATGCTTGCAAACAGCAGACTTAAATGAAGTGTCTCTTTTTCTATCTCTCTGTTTCATGTTGCTACCTGTCCTTTTCCAAGTATAAACTCCAATACTTCTTGAACAGAACTTGTATCTCATTAAAAGACTGAGTTTAGAAGGGAAAGTAACATATTCTCTAAATTTAGAAGTGGAAAATTTGACTCCCTACTTGAAACACCAAAGCAGTACACTATATATGATAAACAAAAAATGCATTGTATATATTCTTTGCATATTTGTAGCTCAATTTCACTGCCATAAATTCCATCGGATATATCAGTCCAAATACATTTTCATAACCCATAATAATAGAAATGTATTAACACAAAATCCCAACATTCACCTGAACTCCCCCAAGTTCTTGGGGGTTGTAGTGATCTTCAAATGCATCATCAAGGTTCAGCAAGTTTGTATTCATTTTCATTTCGGGGGGGGGGGGGGGGGGGGGGGGCACAAAATAATAATTTATGAAGTGTTTTAGCGTCCATTAAAATCAAATATTACAGATAAATTCCAAGACAACCAGCTCCAGAATTTACCTACGTTGAAAATATACTTTCCTTAAGGTTGCACACCTATTAACACCATACAGGGTAAAAGCCCTATGTGGATGGAGTATCTGCTTGTCGTTTGGGCCGATTAGGTCTACGTGAACTTTCTGTCTCTTCCTTTGGAGAAGTTCCAGCAGCATCACCATCATCTTCCTCTGATTCCAATATTGACTGCTCTATAACAAGCTAGTTACACAAAAACCACACTTCATCATTCTTGAAGTGGATGCTAGATATAATTTACTCTTATAATTACTCCTTACCATTAAAGACATGTCTTGTGTGTATTATTAAAGCCAATACTCGATTTTAACGGTATTGCTATTTAACATTGAAAAAAATACTATTCCATATTGTAATTAAATGTACCCACTCTCCCCACACTTATGTTTCACTATGAATACCATGCACACTTAGGCTAGTCAGTTTTTGCTTTTGTCTTCCCAACTTTGCTCCGACTTACATTTTTTACTTTTATGGACATGAGAACCTAATTTCAAGACATTCACGGGGAGCATTACTTTAAGAGTAAAATTGTGTGTGAGTAAGATTTTTTGTACTTGAAATTTATCCATGTAGGTCATTTACAAGTTGATCACCAAAAGCATGAAAAGGTAGTTTAAAAAGTTGATCACCATAAATGTGAAAAGGCATGAGTAAGTCTAACCGCTAAAGACGTGTAATGGCACAATCTAAACACAAAAGGTGAACTTTTGTTATTTAGTTATATTAGTTTTTTTTAAGTTAAACCAATATTGAAACTATTTCTCACTTGTGATAACTTTGTAACTCTATTAGTTTTTCCATGTGTAGATTTAAGGCTTGGACTTCCCTCCTCTCCATGCCTCATGCGTTTTAGAGCCTTATTCTACACATATCACCAACTACAAAGAGACTATGGTCTTGTTCGGCTGTTGGCAGATTGATTTGGGATATTTGGTTAGATGATTGGTCTAAGACTTTAAGTTTCCTCTTTAGTACTGCTTCTGTTCTACAAAGATACTCTATTATTCAAATTTGGTCAGTCTCAGTCCTATAAATATACTCCAGTTACCAGTTACCACATTGAGCTTATCAATAGTTCTTTAGAAATTGCCTCAAATAGGAGTAAAAATGTCTGTAATTCCATAATAGGACTACTATGTTTTGTATTTCCTTAGTTCTTAATTTTTTATGTATGGCCTTAATTAATCTCTTCTGGTACTGCTCACGTGTATTAGCTGAGTAATACACTAATACTCATTCTAGTTCACACTAAGTATATTTTTTGAAGAAATCACACTACTTAAGAGTTAAGAATAAGAGTAGAATATCTAAAAACCAACTGATTAATTACTTCATTAGTGAGATAGGAAGTCACAACAATGCAGACCATGTGTACATTAGGAACAATCAGTAACTTTTCATCATCATCATTTACCCCAGTGCCGCAAAGGCTCCCACCGACGGTGGGGTAAGGGGGTCGGATGTATGCAATCTTACCCCTGTATTAAAGCACAGAGAGACTGTTTCCGGATGACCCATGATGAAAATCGCGTCCGAAATTGCATGGACTGACTGCTGCTTCATAACAAAGAAGAGCAAACAGTTTGGTGAGCCATTTTGTTTTATTCCATCATATTCTCAAGCCAAAAAATAATGAATCTTTGGCTCCATTGCAAGTGATGGAAAAGAACAATCAGTAAACTTTTATATAGAAAAAAATGGAACATTGACGAAGAAACTTATTTTGAACAAGAGGGGGAATAATTAATGAATAATGAGACATCGAAGGATGTTTGGATCTGGTTCTAGAAAGTAAAAACTAACTCTACTCCATCAAGGAGAAGATGAGAGGATCACTTGGAAGCAGAATAGTTTTGTAGGTGTTTGCCAAATACTCTTGAAAGGTGAAGCACTTCTACCTAGCATCTAAAGAGTGTTTGCAATTGTTTGGAAAAAAACTCTTGTGCTTTTTACCTAAAAGAAGAGAAAAGTAGTGTTTCAAAAAAGTACTTATGCTTATCTTTAATCCCTTTAAAGTTAAAAGTTGTAAACAGGTGCTTCAATCACGTTTTCTACAATGTTTCATTTTACAAGTACACAAAAAAAATACTGAATGCTCTAACTTCAACTTTTGGGAATCATTTTATTTTCAAACACTACGAACTTTCACCACTACACACTTTCTCTATAATTTCTAAAAGTAGTCACTTCTCACAAGCGCAAGCAAACTTGGAATCACTTCTCTAGAACTAACTTTGGTGCTTGATAGTTAGTTCATAGAATGCCCTTTATCAAATACAGTTTTTTTATCGTCTTTATCAAATATAGTTAAGATAAATAAAACATATACTGCATCGCGTATCTACTTAAATTTGACTAGGACAAGCTAAGCAAATTTTATTCTAACATCAAATAACTTATTGGATTTACTGTATGTAGAAATATATGCTTACTGTAAGTCTGTAATGCAGTATTCTGTATACATTAGCAGGAACATTAAAGCCAAGTAGTCAATGGAGCACGCAGCACCTTATGTATCACTAGAACGAATTTAAAGCCAACATGAAAGCTACTCAAAGCCAAATCGTTTAAGCTATATTTTTTATATTTTTTATTTTTTATTGGGGGGGCGGGTCTTGGACTAAAAGGGAGGAGGACGTATATCTTACTTTAAGCAAATATTACTTTACTTAAGCTCAATAATTTCCCAAAGAGAAGGTCGCAGGTTCGAGTCTCATCCCATCAATAATTAATAAGGGCGCTTATTATATTGGCTTAGAAGAATATTAAAAAAAAAGCTCAATAATTTTAAAAATATAAAATGATTGAAGTAGTGTATACTCAAGAATCCAGATACTGATCATTAATTTATTACCACCACAAACAATATATAGCTTTCTTAGTTTTAAATAAAACCCGTTTCCTCTCTCCCTTCTCTTCTCTTCTCTTCTCTCCTTTTAGAGAATTAGAAGATTTCGAAGTGCAGTGATATGATGGGATGTTTGGAACAGATTTTTAATACTGGTTCTACCCATTCAAAGAGCACTGAGAAGTAGAATCAGTTTGATGAATATATATTTAGAAGCACCTCTTGAAGGTTAGAACCTCAAGAAACTGGTCCTGATTGCAAATAGATTATCACCTCCGATAAAGTTATTATTGGTACCTCTTCCATGAACTTCTGATCGAGCTTATCAGCGATGCGGATGGAAGTGAGGACGGTGACGGCAAGCAGGGTCATGGGGAAAAGAAAGGCAAATATGTAGTTGCTGGTCCCGGCGCGCGTCACTACCGAGCTGCCTCTTCTCCTCTGACTCCGCTGCGAGCGGAGTTGAAGATTGTTGGAAATACTCGGAGGCGGAGCAACGGATAGTAGAGATGAGCGGTGTGCGTTATAGGAAACAGAAAGCCTGGGGCAATTGAAAATGCGGGATGATGCCAATGGATGTAGACCCGCCATGGATGCTTTATCAGCTCAACTTCAAAGTTCAAACATTCATGGGCGAGATTCCGTCCGTCCAAAACAAAATGATGGCCAAAAGGAAGTGCTTAATAATGAAATCTAGGGAGCGTTTGGTAGCGTTTGCAATTGCTTCAACTTTAAAAAAATGATTTTTTAAAGTGATTTTGCAAAAAATGATTAATAGTAAAAGTTGGTAGTGTTTGAGGAAAAAGTGATTATGAAAAAGTAAAAGTTAGTAGTGTTTGGTAAAATAAGTACTTTTTGTGTAATAGAAAAAGTGAAAAGCAGTTTAAAGCACTCTTCCACCTGCTTCCAGCTTTTAGCTTTTAAGTGATTAATTGGAGCAGAAGCTGTCATTTGAAAACACTCTTTTTAACTTTTTTTAAGCCAAAAGCTGAAAAGTGTTTTTTTAATCAACTGCAAACACTCCTCTAGTTTATGTCGATCAAACTTCTACAAATTTCATACATTACTTTTTCAAAACAGAAATTGTTGTTGTGCACCCTCTTTATTTACCATTCGCATAGATAAAAAAAGTACAAAGATAAATACTTTTCATAAAATTGTCGGTGAATAAAATTAATTTGTTGATTGATATACCTTTTTGCAGATTTGTCAGGGTGTTGGCACGGAAACTAATGTCGGTGTACATAGACATTAGTTATGTGTGTAGACAAAAAATATATGTACATATACAGTTTTGTCTATGTACATAGACATTTGTTTCGGTGCAATTTAACTCTAACTTTTTCTTTAACATTTTTGTCCGTGTGCAGACACTGAAAGAAAATTAGTTGTTGTGTAGATATATTCTTTTATGGAGAAAATTTATAGAATGTTACTAGTTTTTTCCTTTCACCTTTCACTACAAACAATATTTATCATTATTTAGCACCATACAAACAAGAATTCTGGCGGCTCTAACACTCCGATGAGTTTCTGGGAAATTTTCTGATGAAAATGGTGATGGAAGATGATAATAAAGATGATGACGGAAGGTGATATGAATAAAATGTAAAAAGAAAGAAAAATAGAGAAGGAAAGAAAAAGAAGAAGACTAAGATGATGAAAAAGAAGGAGAAAGGAAGAAAGAAAGAAAGATGAAAGATGAAAGAACAAGATGAAGATGAGGAACGAGAAAGAAAGAAGAAAGAGAAAGTGCGGAAAGAGGAAAGAGGAAATAAAAATGGGAGATTATGCAAGGTATACCTAGGGTGTGCCTAAAGAATTTTTCTTTATCTATATACCAAAACTTTGATTCCAAAAACTATTATAGTCTACCTATTAAAAATTTAAACCTAAAGTACCTCTTAAAAGTAAATGTCTGATGTCGTCGACGAGCAATTCAAACATTTTGTTATGTTGTTGCGGCAACTACTTCATATATATACTTGACACAGTGTATAGTGTTAATTCATAATAAAATCATAAAAAATAATTAAAAAACATAAAAAATAAAAAGAAATTAAAACAAAAGTATTTATAAAATAATACTACCTCCGTCACAAAACATTTTGCAAATTCAAAGAATTTGTACCATGGTTTTGATTAGTATTATACTATGGAAGTTATAAATTTTATACTTTTATAAAAATACTTTTAACGAAGATCATTTTCATATATTTTTATATTATAAATAATTTTCAATAAAAATATATAGTTAGTCGAAGCTTTGAAAATGACAAAGTTTTTTGGGATAGAGGTAGTATTTTAAAAAAATTAAAAAAAACGCCGCCGCCT